GGGGTGAGGTGTGCGCATGTTACTTTCAAGTATACATCTCTATTCTTCTTTTCATACTTAAATGACCTGATTGTATTGCAAGTGCCGTAAAACTCATTCAATTAATCTTCTCTCCTTGCAGACCAGGACCCGTGCAAACAGCTGGGGAGTAGCAAAAGTTGCTCGTACGGTTGTCGGGTGACGGACGGGCAGGCCCAGTGTTTCTGTGGGGCGGGGTTTGAGCTCATGGCCGACGGCGTCTCTTGTCAAGGTATAGATCTACACACTACACACACGTACATTGTGTTGTTTTAGTACCGGTGTGTCTTGTCAAGGTATACACACACGTATATTGTGTTGTTTTAGTACCGGTGTGTTGTGTCAAGGTATAGATCTACACACTACACACACGTATATTGTGTTGTTTCAGTAACGGTGTGTCTTGTCAAGGTATACACACACGTATATTGTGTTGTTTCAGTACCGGTGTGTCTTGTCAAGGTATACACACACGTATATTGTGTTGTTTTAGTACCGGTGTGTCTTGTCAAGGTATACACACACGTACACTGTGGTTTATTAGACTACCTGATTAGTAAGACAGCGTTTGTATGTTTTCTTTCTTTTCAGTTTTGTTGTTGCTCGTTTTGTTGTGTTCTGTGGTCAGTTGTGCTCTAAAAAAAGAAGATTTTTCTATTTAGAAGAAATTGAAACAGAACGCAACACAACCCTATCTTTAGGAAGCTGTTTAGATTCTTCTAAAGTGTCTATTGAGGGGGCTCTCGTGGCCTAGAGGTTAAGGTGTTGGCCTCTCATTCAAAGGTGCTGGTTTCGAATCCGGGTAGCCACCGAAAGAACTTTTCTCTTAAATTGTCTCCTTTCACCTCCTTTCTTGCTCTCTAGCAATGTTCTGTCGTCTGCTTTCATCTCGTCTTTCTGCCTCCCACCCCTTCACCTCCTTTGCCCCCTCCTCTGGGCTCCTGACTCTTTCTGCAGCATTTCTACTGCTACTCCTTGGCTCCTTCTTACTGCTGTCTTTCAGCCACACCACTGATCTTCTAGTAGGAAAGATCTACACCGAGCCCTCTCGACCAAGGGCGAAAAATCTCGAAGGTGCAAGTTGCGTACGTTAAAGATCCCTTGGTGGTTTAAAATCGATAAGAGTAGGCTTCGGCCGCAACCCGGGCAATTTTCCAAATTTCCTACGAACTGAAAATGTTTAATGTGTCCTGCGCGCTCATATGACCTTATGCAGTTGCGCCGTAAAACACTTACGAAAAAGAAAAGAAAAAAAATGACTATTGTGTTGCTAACTCTTAAATAACCTAATATGGGTGGTTGGCGGGAGCTCTAGTTGTGTTTGTTTCTTCTTTCCTATCAAACATCTCTCGTTCTGATCTCTCCTCCATCTTTTTTTTTGTGTTTGTTACTCTCTTTTAACACCTCCAATATTCAGCGCTTATATGACACAAGTGTGTTACAAGTCAGTAAAACTCTTACTAAAACAAAACCCTATACTATTTTCTATTGAGTTGCTGTCCCTTGATTAACATAATACTGTTGCCCCCGGGGCGGTGCCACTGACGGAATTGTCTTTAGGCCATTCCCAAAGGGGGGACATTTCTCGTTCAAGAACAGTAGAATTGTAAATGGGCTGATTCATGTCACGCTCATAACTGTGCCTGATCTACAACAGGGAACTGCTGCTTTTTATTTCCTAATCCTTACTATTATCATTTTCCTCTACTTCTTTTGTATGTTTGTCACTCTCTTGTGACCTGCTATTTCCGGGGTGCCTTGATAGTCGAAGCAAACTTTGTGCTGCTGAAGCCAGAGAGGTGAGCAGAATAAGTCTGATTCCCTGTAAAGACTTCTCTGTTGACACCCACCCCTTGGCGCTCATATGACTTTATGCAGTTGCGAGCGCCGTAAAACCTTCTACTATAAAAAAAAAGAATACTGTTGGTAGGAGCGTAAAACATACACCATGTTACGTCGTGTTGATGCCTCTTAATTAACCTAACAGTATTGCAGGAGATATAACACCTCTACACCCCCACACGGGCCGGTACTACTGACTGAAGTGTCTTTAGGCCGTTCCCAAAGGGGGGACATTAACATGTTCTTATGCACAGTAGAATTGTAAATGGGCTAATTCATCAATGTCCTGATAATTACTGTTCTGGAACTGCTGCCTTTTCTTTCCTATCCCTTACTATCATCATTTCCTCTACTTGTTTTATATGTTTGTCACACTCTTGTGACCCGCTATTTCCGGGGTGCATTGATAGTCGAAGCTGAGTTTGTGCTGTTGAGGCTAGAGAGGTGAGCAGAGTAAGCCTGATTCCCTGTAAGGACTTCACTGTTGACATTCACCCCTTGGCGCTCATATGACCTTATGCAGTTGTGAGCGCCGCAAAACCTCATTAAAGCTAAAATCTCTACCACTTGCCGTTGTGTCGCTGTCTCTAAATTAACGTAATAGTGTTGAAGCAGACGTAACCCCCCACTCCCCCCGCCGTCCCGTCCCCAGACATAGACGAGTGCTCCCAGCGGCTGTGTAGCCAGAGGTGTGACAACAGTGTGGGCGGGTACACCTGTTCCTGTCTGCCGGGCTATCGTCTGTCTCAGGACGACCTGGCATGTCAACGTGAGTGACGTCATGATGAGGGGGATATATGATAATCATAATGATGATGAGGCGGATATATGATAATTATAATGATGATACGGGGGATATATGATAATTATAATGATGATGAGGGGGATATCTGATAATCATAATGATGATGAGGGGGACATATGATAATTATAATGATGATGAGGGGGGTATCTGATAATCATAATGATGATGGTATCATCAGCAGAATCATCATCATCCTCCTCATCATCCTCATCATCATCATCATCATCATCATCATCATCATCATCATCATCATCATCATCATCATCATCACCATCATCATGGTTTACAGTAGAAAAAAAAGTACTTGAGACTTGAATAGGGTTGGCCACATTTAATCGGATGTTCGTATAGGCCTGGATGGTCAATGTTTCGCCCCTATGGCTTCTTCAGGAACATAGTATCTGAGAAAAAAGGGATGACACAATAGCAATAAAACGTCCACTGGTAAGTTACGTATTTGTGCGATTTGGATATCGGAAAGAGCCATCATCATCATCATCATCATCATCATCATCATCATCATCATCATCATCATCATCATCATCATCAGCATCATCAACAGCAGCATCATCATCACCATCATCATCATCACCACCATCATCATCATCCCCCCCCTCCCCCCCAATTTTCTCCCCCAGCATGCCCCGAGAACAGGTATGGCGAGAACTGCCAGAGTGAGTGCCAGTGTAGAGGTCGCCAGGTGAGCTGTGACGCAACGCGTGGCTGTGTGTGCCGGCCCCAGTGGACGGGCGACGGGTGTGCTGTGGACGTGGACGAGTGTGCCCGGGTTCCAGCCCCGTGTAGGAAGGATCAGCTGTGTGAGAACACGGCCGGGGACTTTGTCTGTGTCTGTCCGCCGGGCTATGAGGATGTGAGCGGGACGTGTGTTGGTAGGTGGTGTCTGTCTGTCTGTCTGTCTGTCTGTCTGTATGTCTGTCTATCTCCTCTCTCTCGCTCTCTCTCTCTCTCTCTCTTTCTCTCTCTCTTTTTCTCTCTCTCTCTTTCTCTCTCTCTTTCTCTCTCTCTCTCTGTGTATGTGTGTGTGTGTGTGTATGTGTGTGTGTGTGTGTGTGTGTGTGTGTGTGTGTGTGTGTGTGTGTGTGTGAGTGTGTATGTGTGTGTGTCTTTGTCTCTGTCTCTCTTTCTGTCTTCGTGAAACTTATACCATTTCACAATTTCTTACATTTCCCATTTTCCCTTACAGATGTTCTTCTCTTTTCTCAAACAAACAAACAAACAAACTATCAAAAAAGCAAACAAACGAACCAACAACCCTATAATTCCATACCCCCCTCTCCCCCCACACTCCACCTCTCCCCCCAGACGTTGACGAGTGCAAAGACACAGAGGAGAGGAGGTGTCCCCAGACATGTGTCAACGTACCCGGCTCTTTCTCCTGTGTGTGTCAACAGGGCTTTGAGTACAACCACAGGGACAACTCTTGTGACGGTCAGTGCTGGTGCAGCTGAGCAGATCAGATAGGATAAGATCAGATCAGATCAGATCAGATAGGATAAGATAAGATCAGATCAGATAACATAATATAACATAACATAAGATAGTTGAAATGAGATAATATAAGATGAGATGAGATAAGACCAGATGAGAGGAGATGAGATGAGATGAGACAAGTCTTTATCATCCATTAGTTTGTTGTTTCACCACGTACTTACTCTCTCTCTCTCTCTCTCTCTCTCTCTCTCTC